AAAAAAAAAAAAAAAAAAAAAAAAAAAAAAAAAAAAAAAAAAAAAAAAAAAAAAAAAAAAAAAAAAAAAAAAATAAAGAAAAAAAAAAAAAAAAAAAAAAAAAAAAAAAAAAAAAAACGTACAAATGGTATCCTTGCTAATGTTTGCAAAATTTGCTGCCTGGTTATACCTTGTCTGTGCAATTCCCCTACCAAATGGTCCCTGGCGTTTGCGAGGGGATTTTATTTAACAACCAGTAACATTTGCGAATAATCTACTCATGAAGAAATCAGTTCATACATTAAATCCGTCCATTGATATTTCTTTCGCAATTCATGGATTTGGAACGAAAGGTCCGGAGAAGTTTGTTCAATTACCCAACAGTCGGAGTCCTGGTCAATCATCGACCTTTGAAAGAAAAAAAAAAAAATTCAGTCAGTCAAGGAATTTGGTGGACGTATGCGTTCATTCATCCTATCTCTTCTTACCAGTCGAAGTCGAATACAGCAAGAAGTTTCATGTTGTGATATCCATTGAGCGAACCTATCGATATGTGAGCTTTAAATCCCTTAATTTGCGTGCAAATCCTTACAATATTTAGCAATCGGACCTCGAATTTATAATTTAAATCATTCTTTTACCCCTTTCGATTCGTACTAATCTCGGAATGTCAAAAGAGGCTAGTATTCATACTGCTGCCTATGAGGGACAACTCTACATAGTTCAGCAGGCAGTGAAGTCCGAGCCGAAAGCCGTGCATTCGAAAGATGAGGTTTCACGATTTCTTTATTGAACCTTAATTTTTACGTGTTTGTTACATTATCGTTGAACGTTCTATCCTGCTACAAAGGATGAGAGAACTCCTCTGCATTGGGCAGGCAAGTTCTCGCTCTGAGCCGCGCCTTTAATTATTAACATTTAACTCATGTAAACCCGCTTCATCCATTCAGTTTCGGGCGGTCACTTAGATATCGTCGAGTTCTTATTAAACAATGGGGCAAACGTAAACGCAGAAGACGAATCGAGTTGGACCCCTTTGCATATTGCCGGTAGGTGTGATAGGATGTTGACCATAACATTCGAAATGGTCCCGATTAAAAAATCTTTTTTTTTTTTTAATAGCATCAATAGGAAATTTGGAGATCGCCGAGAGACTTTTGCAGGCCAGTGCGAAGATCAATGTCCAAAATGATAACGGTCTTACGCCTTTGTAAGTGCTATTTTTTTTTGTATCCGATGGAATTATTGTTTTCCTCAAGTGAATTATGGAAATGAAATTACACTCGCTAGACACTATGCAGCTTCCAGGAATAAGATTGAGGTTAGATTCGTATCGATTTGTTTCAATTCTCATGGTTGTCCGACTGGACTCTTCGAATGAATGGCTCTTTTTTTAGATCGGAAAATTGTTATTAGATGAGGGAGCCGATATTAACATTCTGGATAAAAACAACCAATCGCCGCTGTATGTATTGTGTTTGGCATTCGAATAATTGGACTTTGGATTAATCGCGCACCTCATTCAGTCATCGCTGCGCAGTTCACGGTTACACCATCTTTGCCAAATTATTGTTGGAGAAAGGTATCAATCCAAACGTAAGAGACAAGGTCAAGAATACACCGTTGTGAGTAATCAACCTTTTTATTTCGGCTTGCTAATCGTTTTTCGCTATTCTGATCGAATAATTATTACACAAGGCATTTGGCATGCGAGGAAGGACATGGCGACTGCGCGCTGGCAATCATTGAAAACGGAGGGGACGTGACTATTGAAAATGGGGAAAAGAAAACGCCCCTAGATGTGTGCGGTAAACAGCTGAGGAATTTCATCCTACAACAAACCTCAACTGGGTGAAGAAGTAGTATGGGTCTCAAAGGTTCAACATTTGCTTTATCAATTTATTTGGTGCATATCAAGAAAATAAAGTGAGATCATTGCTGGATGTGGTATGTGAGATAAAGGTGCGTAAGAATTTTTGTCGAAAACATAAGTACAACAAAATAGTTATAAACAGGAGAATCACCTTTTATTTTGAATAATGTCCGGGACTTGCTCGAGTTTCTTTTTTTTTTTTTTTGAGAGAAAAAAAAAAAAAAAAAAAAAAAAAAAAAACGACAAAAAAAAAGCAAAAAATTATTTACGCTAAAAAATGAATACACCAAAAAAAAACCCCCATCCCATTTTATAATTTAGTTAAAATTTT